CGTGAGTAAGAAACGAAAACGGTAACTTACACACGTAACAAAAGTAAGTATTAGTCGTCTTAGTTGGTTTTTTTTTTTTTGTTTTACGTAGTAGTCATTCTTGTAGCATGTAGATCCTCTCTCTCTCTCTCTCTAGATGTGTCATAACTCTTCTGAAAATGAGTGAATTAATAGCATGTTACGTTATATACTTGTGTTGGACAAGGATTGTATAGTACTACTACATGCATCATACAAATCCGTCATCGATGCTCAACAACGGATTGAAGGAAATACATGAGATGTGCTCACAACAACAGTGATATGTATATGGTACAGTGGAGGCTATATGCATGTCCAAAAGATTATGGCCTAGCAGGAGCAGACTGTGCATCTGCCCCTTGGCTGCATCCACCGTTCATTAAATCAAAAACTGGAGACTGTGCCACTGTAAAATGGGGAATCAGAGTAACCAGTTCCCCTTAAATTGACCATAACTCCAATTGCAGGTACAGACTTGCACCTAGTGCCTCCTTTCTTTATCGTCCTCCGCTCTCCCCTTATGGCCGCTCCAACCCCTTTTCTGTGCTCTCTTTCTCCTCTCTTTCTTTGCAAAGAGCCCTAACTACTGTATATAAGTGATCATGTTAGGCCTGTACCCCATCTTGTGATGCAGAGGCCATTTTATCAGGGAAGAATCTGGCTTTCTTCATCTAATGGAGAAAACCCTGAACTCAAAAAAACTATCTCCAACTCCCACTTTGTGAGTGATCGAGTTTCCACAAACCAATCCATCTTTGAGACCGACGCTGCAAAGAGCCCTAATTACTGTATATAAGTGAACATCTTTAGGCTTATACCCATCTCTGTTGTATGCAGAGGCCATTTAATAATGGAAGAATCTGGCTTTCTTAATGTCAAGGAGAAAAACCTGAACTCTAAAAACTCTCTCTAACCCACATAGTTTGCACCAGAGACTTCAGCATGGAAACCAGAATTAAGTGACATTTTATTGTCGGGTACGAGGCATAAGAGCTTGGTTGTTAAGCCCACCATCAAATGAAGCTTGTAATTAAGTGGAAGCAGGATTGAAATACTAATTGTAGTTTGTTGATTTATAGAGTTATCCAGTTGTACATTATTGAGGACTGATGGTGGGATATTGACTTTCATAGTAAAATAATAAGCAAAAAATATGAAGGGGAATAATCATGTATCTCAAATACACCGAGTCTGGGTGTATTTTGCTTTTGGATCATTGATTCTGATAAGCGGATAGTATCAAAATCTATTATTGATTCGGGATCCTTTCAATAGTTTTCTAAGTAAAACTATTTTTAACTTTCCGCGCTTTCTTTTCTTCCATTTTTTTATTTTTCCTGTTTAATCGCTGAGAGTAGTTTCATGTCATTAATTAAAGGATCCAAACTCCAGAGGTACAAGCAAAATAGAGAAAAAAAATAGACAAATACGAGTAGTACTCCTTATTTCCATATATAAACAACCACAACTTCAAAACACGCACCAAAACCCTAAATTTGAAGGATCCAAAATCACCCACTACCTAAGATCCGAAGAACTCCCATGAAAGCACTTTCACAAACCCCCCACCCCAAGAACTTCCAATACATCCGTACTTCCCAAGGAGCACCCAATAAGCAACTTTCCTTTTGCAATCTCCTCACAGTTTCAGGTTGGGGTTGGGGTTGCACATAGCTGCCACCCATAGCGGTGTACAAAGTGGCGGTGTCCAAAGAAAGCATGAGAGATAGAGAAGAAATAGAGAAGGATGGAAAGAAAGCATGAGAGATAGAGAAGAAATAGAGAAGGATGGAAAAGCAAGAGGTTGGCAGTGTCCAAAGAAAGCATGAGAGAAAAGCAAGAGGTCCGTATGGAGGACAGAGGGACCTAAGAAGTAAAAGAAACTAACTCATACACCTTACCAAATGAGTAATATCTGGCACAAAAATTTTAAGTTCCCGTGAAAAAACCACGACAGAAGTTGGTTTTGCCCCCATCTTAGGCATTTACCTAATGAGCCAGATGCCAGGATCATCGAAAGGACTCTGACGACATAATTCCTATTCACAGAAAGAGGAGAAATCCTATCTTCAACGTTAACCAAGCTGGTGAGAAGAGCCCAGCTAAGCAAAATGGTGGCTGAAAATCAGAGGTAGGTAGAACATCGACGAAAGGCAAAAAAAAAAAAAAAATAGAGAGAAAGGGGAAAAGGAGGAAGAAAAATGAGACGGAGAAGAGGGGGGCGGGGGGAGGGCCACCCCCGACCCACCCCGTCATTAAAAGACACCCAAAACCTCTCTCGCTCTAACTCTAATACTAACTCTCTCAAACCAGAAAAGGAACAACCCAAAAGAGGTGCCTAAAAATAGAAGCTAAAGAAAACAAGAATAAGAGTGAGGCAAGAACGGCTATACTCCATACGGTTTGGTCGGTGCCAGGGGGGAGGGTAGAAGCAGGGCACTTAATGCAGTATAAAATTTACTGGCCACTAATAACCGGAAAAATTAACCGTATTTTAGATAGGTAAAAATTAAAAAAAAAATTGCAAACGGAACGAACAAAACGTGATGAGTATTCTAGCACGAGTCCACAATAAGAAAACAAAAACCTAAAAACAAAAAATAGATATAAAAAAATTACAAGAAAATAAAATCAAAATATGGAAGATGAGAGAGTCAGCAAGAGAGAGGGAGGAAGAGAGAGGGAGGAAAAAAAAAAAAAGAGGGACGAGCCAACGAGGCAGAGGGATGCTAGAAAAAGGAAAGGGGGAGGACCAAAGAGGGAGAGAAAGTAGTAGAGAGAGAAAAGGCAAAATAGAAGGAAAAAGTTTACAGCCGAGGCTCTGAACAATTAATTAGAGTTTTACCTCAAAATTTCACTAGAAGAAGTTGTTTAGATGCTCAAATATCCGATCATCTCGACATCAAGATGCATGGACATGAAAAAAAAATGGATTTCGAGTTTTCAAAATAATACATCTTGTAACGTATTTTTGGACCATCAATTTTCAAGATCTTCAAGTTTTCATAGATATGCGCGATCTACACTATTTTTTAAGCTTTAAATTTTATAATTAAAGATGAAAACATATTTTAAGGCTACCATAAAGATTTTATAGTATGCAAAACCACACTTCTTCGCATGATAGTTTAGAGCCCCGCCTCTATACAAACTGTCCCAAAAAAAAAAAAAAAAAAAGAAAGAAGAGAGAGAGAAGGCAAAGAAAATGAAAGGAGAAAGGATGTGCGTATTTGAAACCAAAGGAGAGACGACCAAGAAATCGGGTCAATAGGAAGCAGACGTCTCCAGAATAGGAAGGCAAGAAGCCGTCACTGTTCGTTCAAGGTCGCCGGTTGCTAAGGTTGTCAGATGTTGCTGAAAAGTAGCTATTGCAGTTATTCCTCTAAATTATCTCCTCTCTCTAAATTGTCATAACTTTTTGCCCTCTCTCTCCTCCATTAAAGCCTTCCCCTTTTCTTTCTCTACATGTTTTATCTATGCCAATTTTGCTATCTCTCTATGCAATTCTCAATGGGATGGGGAGTTGCTCAACAATTATGGTATCATTCTGGCCATTTTTCTTCAGTATTGACCTTTTAGTCTCATCTTCTCTGATCAACGCTTAATGTTAATACACTTTCATTTCATGAATTATAATAACATATTTTAAAGCATTACTCCTGTAAAATAGAACAATTATTCATTCTACCTTCTGTATCAACACCTAAATTCTATACTCTCTATTTACAATTAAATTTGGGTTCTTTGCACCTTGTTTAGCATAAACATCAACTTCTTTGTTCTACTCCATATATATATGTGAACAAATTGGCCTTGATTTATTTAAAATGACAATGTTCATGGACCTCAAACTTCTTATCTATATATCACCATCCTTGCCAGGAGTGCAAAACTTGGCCAATGATGCTAAAGGACACTACTTTTCTTCTTCTTTGCCCCCACAACAACCTTCTTATCAATTTCTTTAAACTTTTAGGAATCACATTGGAGATCTTAAATAAAGACATATAATATTGAGGTAAATTTAATAAGGTTGATCTGATCAAACTTTATCCCACCCACCAATGATAAAAACTTTGCTTTCCATGAGTCTAACTTATATTGAAATCTCCGAATCATAGGATCCCGGATAGTTCTTGGTGCTCTAATTTTAGTAATAAACATCCCCAAATACTTAATTAAAAATTTATCAACTCCACACCCTATTATTGTTATTTTTGCTTCTTTTTCTTGACATCCCACTCATGCTAGTTTGGTTTTCATCATATTTAATTTTGACTCTAAAACAACGTCAAAATGACATACAAATCCTCTTAGATGCTTTATTTATTCTTCTGAAGCTTCACAAAAAGATTTGAATGTCATCTGCATATTGTAAAAATCTAAACACTCATTTCCTAATTGCAGACTTTGAATCCTATTAATAAGTATGCATCTTCCATTAGTTTTGTCTATACATTAAGTGCCTTTTCGTCAAAAGTAAAGAGAAATGGAGATAATGGGTCTTCCTAACTAACCCTTGTTGTAGCCTTAAAGAATCCCTTTGCTCTTCCATTTATGATCAATAAAAAATGTGCACTTTATAGGCATCCCATACATCGAAGATCTTTACCTAGCTCCAGCCTTGACAATCATAACATTCAGCAACACTCGCTAATTCACTGTATTATTTGCTTTCTCCAAGATGTATATATGATGTCTTGCATATTTTCAACTTTCCTTGAGCTAAGACGCTCTTATGCAACCAGAATGATGTTTGTTATTTGTTTTCCATGAATAAAAGTGTGACTGATGTCTTGATACAACGTAAGGCAATACTTGCCTCAATCTTTTTGCTAAAATCTTATACAACAATGTCAACATGCTCATAGGTTTGATGTTATTGAGCCCTTCAATATATTTTTATTAAGAATTAAAGCAATAAAAGTGATATAAATAGCTTTCTTAATCCTTTCTCTTTGATAGAACTCCTCGACTGCTAAAAAAAAAGGATGTTTTACCAATATTGATGAATAAAACTAAGGGAATCCATTGGTGCTTGAAGCCTTGTGCTCTGATAGATTACAAATATCCTCATATATTTTAGCATAAGGGAAAGTCCTTACAAGCTATTTGAATATGTCATGTAGAGCTTTTCAAAAAGAACTATATCCATATTTATCTTCGGGAGGAATCCTGCCATAAGCTTCTAAGATGTTACATAATTGCCTCTTTAGAGCTTTCCTAATTCCTTCTTCCACTTCTTGAATTTTGATACCATTTAGGTTATTTATCTTTTGTATTCACAAAAAAACAAAAAAGTTAGTATTCAAATCCCTTCTTTCAACCACATGACTCTTGACCCTTGTCTCCAGTAAATATCTTCTAATCTTAAGCACTTTTGAAGAGCATTCTTAATCTCTATTCTTTCCATATTTGGTTCTTGCACAAGTCCTTTCTATTCCTTTTCAATTTTATAAATCATCATATTTCTAAATAACAAACTCTCAATTTTCTTTTTAAGATCATATGCTGAACTTTCTTCCATTCAATTATCTTATGTTTTACAAACTTCCACTTTTTTAAAACTCTATGTCCTTATCGTCCATTAATCATTGTTCATGACTATACTCTTTTAAAAATTCCATTTATTATTCTTTCAAATAACCATGCAATATCAAAAGATAGACCCTATATTGTGTTACATCTTGTCCCAGCATAAAAGGTGTATGATCTGAAGACATTTTGGTAGAGCACTTATAACGGGAATAATATTTCCAATGAACTACATATTAGAAACATGTATAGTTTCAACATTATCGGACTCCATTTACTTTTGTTGTACTAAATATTCTCCTCTCTTCCAAATGTTTTCCAAATAGGAGCGCATTGGAACTGCCAATATAATTACATAACTCTTAATTATTTTCCTCCTTCAAGCACAAATTCAAATATAGAAATCTCAGTTGTTTTGCCCCATCAAACACAAAAAGAAGTAAAATAAACTTAATTGCAAAAGAAATGTCAATGTATCTTTCTGTTTTGCCAAAGTAAGCAACTTGTAGAGAAGAAAAGGGGGAATATGATATTCCATATCTCAAGACTCAATCCGAGGTCATCTCTTCTCATGTTAGGCTTACCCATTATTGAAATATAACCCTCTAGAACATCCCATTTTTTATCTCCTCTCAAAATAACTTTTTCTTTAGCAGAACTAGAGCAAGAACTTAGTACTTTAAGAGCAAGAGAAACTACAATGACCCAATTTTTTATTGTTGGGCCTTGGAGCTAAGCTTTTTAAAGGTGGGCTATGACAAAGAGAAAGGGGTGATTTTGAATCTAGCTTTATAGCTAAAGAGATAGCTGACAAGAAAAAGAGAGCTTTTGAAGATTGAGAGTGAAGAGAGCGAAAAAGAGAGGGCTTTTATGATTTTCTTGACCCAGGGAATAGAAGAGAATTTTCTTTATTCTATAGCAATTCACCATACAAGAGAGATTTAAAGAAGGTAAAATTCTATAGCAATTCACCATACAAGAGAGATTTAAAGAAGGTAAAAAGCAAGTTCTTGAAAGAAATACCGAAAAAAAATTCTAATCCGCTATAGCATACTGTGTTTGAAATGGACATTACCATTCTCCAAACATGCATATATGCTCCTCAGAGGTAAAATGTATTGATTCCCTTCAACAATTTTTCTAGCTAAGTAGCTATAATATTATAAAACTCTAATTTTTGGGGTAGTTACCTGCTCAACCCAACTACCAAACTTCAAAAGAGAAAAAAAAGAAATTTATCAAATGCTCATGAGAGATGAATTATGTAGTATTTAACATATGTTGTTTGATTTAATTTTAAAATACCCATCAAAGATTATGATCCATGAGCTGGAATAGTCACAAATGTGTGAAATGTTCATGAAACGCGGGCATGGGGCATCGGTCGGCATCGAGAGTCAACCATCCGAGTGAGAGGTAAGTGAAAAGTAGCACAAAAAGAGAGCTCGTTTCTCATGTAGTTGTCGTCCTTCTAATAATGATGGCATGCTGGATCTAAGGCAAGACCATGGCATTGTAAGATTTTTCCATAGATATTAGAACATGGCTTAAAGCCTGTGGAACCGAGCCGGTACCTCTGGCACAACCTATGCTAGTCGAGTACCCCAGTTTGGCGCAGACAATATTGTAGGTATTTTGATAAATTTTTCAAAAAAAGAAAAAGAGGAAATTCAATAAGCACTTTCATCCTTGAGTCCGTGAAATAAATCATGCCCTTAAATTATACAATTGCTTCTTGATTTTGTGTTTGCATACTCTGTATTCTCTAAAAGTACTAATAGAAAAAATATGATAATTATGGTCTCATATAAAGTATGACCTTTAATACACCGGAATGACATATCAAGATTCACGTAGCTTATCCAACTAGTTGCGAAAAAACTTTTAAGAGGATGATGATAACGATGATCGAGTGATTTTGTGATGGATCCAGACTTTCAAATCATGAACGTCATAGGCGGTGGACGGTGATCATTCTCATGACCAGGCTATTTCGAGCTTCTTCTCTCCCCATCATAGGCGGTGGACGGTGATCATTCTCATGACCAGGCTATTTCCAGTGGTCATCGGGACGGTACACAGATCATCAGTATCCCTTGGTCACAAAATATCAATTTTGAGATCCTTTTTCAAGCAGCTTATCATCCCGACTGAGAGGGAAATGGTCCGTGGTATGAAAGCCGGAGTAATGGAGGCCGGGAAACAAGGGTTAGGGTTGGGGTTTTCGTTCACATCAACCTGCAACTCTTCTTTATCCGTGAACAAGAAAATCACAAGCTTTTAGACGATAATGGCGGTTCGAATGGCGAGCTCCTACTCTATCTTACGCTATGCTTCCCCTCCTTTCTGTGGCTTCCGTCGCGCTCGCGGGTTTATGTTGCAGAAAAACATTGAATTGGCGGTACGGTTTTCAGTGATGAGAACCAGTTCGTCGAAGATGTTTAGTGCTCGAGACTATTCTTCTTTTAGCTTAGTTGAGATTGTCATGGAGGAGCTTGAAGCTCTGCGTAGGAGGCCAAAGAGAATAAGAGCCACTAGCAAGTAAGTAGAGAAATATTTAATTCTAATCAACTAATAAATTTATTGCAAATTGTTCATAGTAGTCATTTACTTGGTTACGTTGGTTGATTTTTTTTTCTTCTGGTTTGTTGAATCAAATTCATTGCCTGCTGAAAGTTCATTCTTCGGGCTATGGAATATAATTTTGTATAAATTCATTGGTATTCTATATGTTAGTGACTTTCTGCTGAAATTTGGCATAATGTGAATTTGATTATCAGCCAAATGTCCAAATTTATGTCTTCATTAATGCTTTTATAGTTAACAAATGCAAATATCGTTGTCTCACCTGGCTGGATTCCTTCTGAAATTTAGAAATTTGAAAGTTACATATACATGAAACTTTAGTGTAATCCCCATTTAATTGAATAATATGAAACTTTTATGTTTAATTTTAAAATTTGGGTATGCTGACTGTGATTAAAAAACAATTGCATCTTGAATATAAATGAAACCATTCTGAAATGTGGAACTCTGCTTCATTGAAGATACAAACCTTGGCTTTGAAGTTTGGTGAGTGTAAACCTGATTGCAGTTTGATATATGGTACATTCCCTAAATGTTGGGGAAATCTTCCCCCAATATAAACCTCACATCTTTAATTTGGGACCAAAATTGGGCCTATGGCCAAATTCCATTTTCCGATGAGACATTGATTTTCTGCATTCTCATAGAGTTTGATTTTCTTTTTTCCTTTTGAGTTTTAGTATAATGAATGATTCTTCATAGGAAACATTTTTTGCTATTTTGAGTATATTTTGAAATGTGATATTCAGTATGCTGTTATATGTAGCACTTCTGTGGAAAATAAATTTTGTAGGTTTAGTATTTCAACTATTGTTCTTTTGGATTGATGATTTCTGAGTTGCCGAGATGCATTGCTAGCAAAGAATGAATGGTAACGCTCCATCTCATTGGCTGTTGATATGTTAAGTGGACATTCTAAACAATGAGACTTTGAGAAGGTATTCTCATGAAAAGAATAAAGAAATATTTTAAAAATTTATGTTTGAAAAAGGGAAAACCCCCCTATTAGACAAAGCCATTATCTTGAAGTTCCTTCATTATGACAACTTTATTCAAAAGCAATGCAGGAAAAATGGACATCGTCCATTGAAGAAATCATTCCATTGGAGGATAAAATAATTTTATTGAATCTTGATGAAGATCATGGCGTAGAATGGATGGTCTCTCATTTTCAGATTCATGGCTAAGGTGCTTAAGAAATCCCATACAGCGTTGTTAGTTTTGACGAGCTCAAAAAATTGTGTTAGGAAGTTCTATCCAATGAAATGATCCATATTTCTGATTTGATCAAATCGATACAGGCCTCAAGTTCAGTTGATACTCTTTTGCATCGTTTGAGTAGCTTACGCTCAGTCCTAGTATTTTGAATGATATGTTTTATGACATTAAGTTTTCCTTTCCATTGACTGCTGATCCAGAACTTGTAATACCTTTGACCCAAGTTGCTGTAGTTTAGCTCCAAATATGTTCAGAACCTGAGTACTGCCATCCTCTTATACTTCTTATCGTTGCATTTTATCAGTCTATTTGGATGAAGGTGCCTTTATCAGTCTATTTGGATGAAGGTGCATTAGCATACTCAATTAGGCCTGATAGAATCTCTCCTCAAGGTGTGTCTTGAGCCTTTTGACAGTAGAGGCTTGAAGGTTATAGTGGCCTTCCTCGAGTTTGGAACAACTTCTTACAAGATACTACATGAATTTAGTTGTTTGACGAACAAGTTTAGAACAACTTCATTTTGGTAAATTTATCATGGGAAAAGGAGCACAACCTAAGATAATGACTCTTTGCGATCTATATGTTTTGTGAAGCAAGAAATTACACAGAGGCTTGAAGATAAAAGCAGCTCAAAGATTTTTTTTTTTTTTGTTGATAAAGTTAACCAAAAGCAGCTCAGAGGTGTTACACTCTTGCAAGTTTTATATCCAGCTCACCAGTGGCACAAGTGGAGCAGTAAAGAGTTTTGGAGAATGTCAATTTCGATGACTGTATCCATGAAAAAAGAAACGAAGCTGAAACCTGGGAGATATGAGCTTTATTAATGAAAATGGCGTAGAAGACTACGACCAACATACATATGACTAGGCTGGTGCACGTTTACTTCAAGAAGTTATTTTCTTTTTTGGAAGACGTACAGGGGCACATGATGGACTTTAGCAGATGGTTAGATGGAGAGGAGTGTAGAAGAGATTGTAATGGAGAAAAACCTTAGCGATGGGTTTATTGGCTGACAACAGACCAGTATAAACATGTGTGGATTTGGAGAAGAAATAGAGATGACGGAATGAAACCAATGATTTAAAAATGAAACCGGGTTGCCGATCTGAGTCGGTTTGCTGATTCCTAATCCGGTGTGTTGACTCATGAAAAATTGGGAAAGATAATAATGTTAGTCTCTCATTCTCTCTAGTGGCCCAAACATGAGTGTCGGGCTGTTGGCACCTGACATGTGTCTAGAGTGACTAGTCCTTCATCCAAAACATAAGATACATGGCGACATATCTGTACAAATATTATTTTATATTAAATAATAGATTTATATAATAAATGTAGACGATCTTTGTGCAACCCTGTGATGTTTTATAATGGTAGAGCCTATTACCTGATGTTCCAAAAAATGGGCTGCCTAGCGCCTAGCTGTAGCCCCGCCTTGCTTGGGGCGCTAGGAATCATTGCTTTGGCCTAGGCCACCCGTTGGCGGCCGCCTAGGCACCTGCTTGGTAAAACCCTTTCTCAAGTATGGAAAATTCCCAGGAGCATGAAGTAAAATAGTAGTTTTCCCCTCAAAAGGGGGGAAAGAAAGGTACTAGGATTTCAAAACCCCCACATGCTTGTATTAGAGCTAAAAAAAATTGCTCGAAGAAAAAAATAATAATCTAAAAGCTTGATTTTTGTGAGATTGGGAAAAAATTGAAAAATTTGAGAAAGTATCCCAAATCTCACTTTTGTTTTATTGGGATCACTTTAAACCATCAAGGGAAGAACAACAAGGCCTTTTGGGGTGATTTAGAGCTTGATATCAAAGTTTATCAAATATTAGGGACAAATATCTCCATATTTGATATTCCTTCCTTATTTCGTCTTCTATGGATTTTAATAAGAGTGGGGATCTGATTCTCTCAAAAAAAAAAAAAAAAAAGAGTGGGGATCTGGGATAGAGATTTGTTTTTTGGCTGGATAAAAATAATATGAACGAGGTTGGGGGCACTTTTTGTGGTAAAGATACGACTGCATGGGATCAGGGAGGATGTTGCCCCATGTAAGGAAATTCCGGTGGACATTAAGAACGAAATTCTTGACTACTTGGATACCAGAAAAAGGAAAAGACAGCAAAAGAGGCAAGTATGGAAGAGTTAAGGGCTAGGATAAATGTTTGTGGTGATAATGAGGAGGATGAAGATGGAAGGGAAATTGAAGTGGACCAAGTGGGTTCATCTCGAAGCTCTAAGAGATGAATTATGTTTAAGAAGCCTCAGATCAAGGGGCTAATGGAGGTCAATTTCCTCCCAAACACCAAGGCTGTTGTAGAACAAGGGAAGAAACAAGTAACAATTGAGAGCTCGAGTTGTTCAATATGTTGCTGGTTCAATATATAGGGGGCATTTCTTTTAATGGTTTAAGCAACTTCAATTAAGTGGAGGAGGCAATTGGCCAATGTGGGCCAGGGTTGAAGGCCAGAACCCAATTTGAGTTTGCAAAGCCATTACTACTAAAAGAGGTAGAAATCACTAAGGAGCACCTCAAGTCCTGCGGGGATGTGCGGACGCAATTTGGGATCTCTAGCATGGCATATTCATGAAGTGATAAGAGGAGTATGTTGAACTTGATGGTGAATTGCCTTTAAAGGAGGTTGTTTTTGAGGTCTATTGATGCATTTGATGATGTTCATGATGTACACTGTCTTTTTTTGCTTTGATTGATAAGTTGGGGTGGAGCATAGCACAAATAGATGATGTTGCACCTGTTGTGGCAGCTTGCTACTTGGATGGAACAAAAACCGGCCTCATATCTTTGGACACCATATGTTGCACACTGCATAGACGTCATGGTTGAGGTTATTGGTGCACACTGCATAGACATCATGCTTGAGGTTATTGGCAAAATGCCAATTATGAAAGGGACAGTTACAAAGGCTAAGGTTGTGACAATGTTCTTCTACAGTCACACCGTTACATTTAGTCTGATGTGGAAGTTCATTGAGAAGAGGGATATAACGAGGCCTAGGATCACGCGATTTGCCACCTTTTCCCTGAGTATGTTGAGCATATATGGAAAGAGAAACCAATTGAGAATGATGTACGCTTTAGAGGATTGGTTTGGATTCAAGTGGACTACAGATCCTGAAAGGCAAAAAGTCATGTGATATTGTTTTGTATAAGGATTTTTGGGGTGAGTTGAAGTACTCATTTAGAGTGGTTCCATCCTCGGTCAAAGTCTTGCGTGTATTGACAGTGAGGTGAAGCCCGTTGTCGGCTCTATATATGATGCATTAGATGGAGCTAAGGAAGGGATGGTTGAGGTCAGCCCAATACGGGAGATTATAGATAGAAAATGGGTTATGTAGCTTCATCGAACATTGCATTAAGCTGGGTATTATTTGAACCCCGAGTTCTTTTATGCTGATTGGAATATTGAGATGAAGGATGAAATTATGAGGGCTTTAATAAGTGACTTGAGAGGCTCATTCCTGATAAGGATATTTGAACCCCGAGTTCTTTTATACGAATGTGTATTAGAATCATTTGGGAAGGAAATGGCAAGGAGACAACAAATCTGATCCAGGTAATATATCTTATTTGAATAATTTCTATCAAGTTTCAAGTTCGGACTTTCATTATGCATAGTTTCATATGACATTATACAGTTGTAGACATAGAATTAATTTTAGAGATTGTATACAATTTGCAGCCCAATGTTGGAGCCATCATGGGACTAATGCTACAAAAATGGATTGC